TAACGCAAGTATTATTAAATGCTTCATGAATAAAAACATTAACAATTAATTATACAGACACGTAATTACCCTTATTTAAAAATGAATTAACCTTGTCACGACGATTGATCTGCGACAAAGTTTCAAGTTTTCAAATTGTGGGATTTTTTTCATTAGAGCTAATCTAACTCCTCCTCCCAAATAAAATCCGTAAATAATACCGACGTAATACAATTTGAAGATGAGGGGTCGTTCATAAAATACGTTAACAAATAAGGGGGTGGGATTGCCTAGCATAACGAGATATGACAAGGAAGGAGAGGGGTCTAAGGAATTGTGGCGTTCGCAGTTCATCAGTTTTAATTTAATGTTTTTCTTAACTTGGTAGTTCTTAAAATTTTTCATTTCGACAGAAACTAATTTACAGCAGTATCAGCATCTAGCGCAGGGTCGAGTTCGCTTCCAATAAAAAGAAGTCACTTCTATGCTGGCGAACAGTTAACTTAGAAATTCGAAAAAGGTTCTTAAAGGTGTATGTTCAGAGCACGGCGCTGTACGGGTGCGAAACATAGAGAAGGTTAGAAATGAAGAGGTATTACAAAGAATACGAGAACAGAGGACTCTATGGAAGACAATAGGAAATAGGCGAGATAGGTTAGTAGGACACCTTCTCAGGCATGAAGATCTAGTCAGACATATTAGAGGCAGAAACGGGAGTTAGGAAGGATAGAGGTAGACCTATATTACATTACTGTTCGCAAACAGTGAAGGATATGGGTTGCTTTAGCTTTAGGGAAATGCGAAGATTAGCTCAGGATAGGAAAGAGTGAAGATGCGTATCCAATCAGTCTTAGGACTGACGATCTTATGACCTTATGATGATGTTGAGAAAGTAATTCTCATTGCTATTTTTCATTGAAAAAAACCATTTATGGTAGGAGGGTGGTGGACTAGCTCTCGGGACGTAATATTTGTTAGGGGGTCACTAAGAGTATGCCCAAAAAGATGAAATTCTGTGTGACGTATTTTATAAACTACCCTTACACTTCTTATCATTAATTGCAAGGAAAAGTGCAACTAATATCCGGGTATATTTTTTATAAAAACACATTTTTGTAGTTCCTTATGTGTTTTTTGATTTGATCTACTATACCCTTGGACTCGGACGCATAAGACGACTGTATTTGACTATGTATGAAGGATCGTTTTAGGTAGACATAATCACACAAAAATGCCAAATACGTAAATGGAGAAAACGTTTAAAACACCATCACAACTCAAGTCACCCTTCTGTCTCGGACAAATGAAAACAATAAATTTTGCTCTAATCTAAACGTAACGATAAGCAGTATGACACTTCTTGAGTAGCACTCATCATCGAGTCTAGTCGATGCCATGTTAAACAGTGGCTCGAAAATAAAAAATTTTTAATTCGAAATTTAAACAGAGGAGCAATATATTTTTGTTCTTGTAAAACATCATTCCTATTGTTAATAATCGTTAATCATGTTAATAATTAGTAGCGTTGTACTTACTTTATTGGAATGATTAATTTCATTTTACAGAAATATTGCAGCTGTTGTAGATACATTAATTTTAATAATAAACAAATTGCTTTAAAAAAGTAACTGGTTCTTTTTACTACTCCTACTAGTAAGTTAGATACTTACAATTAGTATAGTTTTTAGTAAAAGTCAGGAACTTATTCATTAAACAACTTTTGTAATGGTAAGGAAACGGCGTTATTCAAATTGTCTTAATCACTCTTTTAACGATAACAATCAATAAACTATTAAATTTACAATCCATTTCCAACATTAAACTTCATACGTATATAATTATTTCTTTGTGATTACATCGAGTACAAGTAATTGTAATACTTTGACGTAATATTACTCTTTTTCGGCAATTATAAAATTAATTAAAATCAAATCTGATCAAATATCTATCTATTACATATAAAAAAATCTGATGACAGTTTGTAGTTGCAAAGAAGCGGCTAAAAATAAAACGTTTAAACCTGACCTTGGCGATAAAACAATTGAAAAAAGAATCATTCTTTTGCTCTGTTTTATAAATTAAAACGCGTTTAAAACAAAACACTGACTATCTTTGAGAATTGTTTATTAAATCTGAGAGAGTAATATGCATGTGGAAGCCAGTCAGCTAGAGTAACACGTCAGTGTCATATTCCATATTAACAAATGCCTATAATATTATTTTGTTGAAGTTACATCCGGAAAATTATTTATTTTCTATTGGACTATAACTGAAAAGCATGATGAGATCATATCGCCACCTAGCGATTAAAAAATTGAGCTTTACAGTTTGATGTGATTCTTTTTATTTTTTAACAAAAGTAAGATTGATAGTAGAATTAATGTTTCGTTTAAAGCAGTGCATATTTGGCTAAATAATATTAATAAATAATTTAAAATTTATTGATATTTGAAAATAAAAATCTGAACATTTACCACAAATATTGCACACCTTTCCTATCACCACAAATTATAAATTAATTAATTGCTGCTAGCATTCCTTAGCAATTTTATATTTTAATAATTAATTGATGTACAAAGGTCATTAAAAAATTATTCAGCTAAGGGAGATAAGTTGGATAAAACTCCTAAATGAAAATCTTATCATTACGTAATATTACTAATGTGCAAAGAAACCGTATACCTAAAATATAAAAAAATGAAAAACATTGTCTGAGACAGATAATATTGAGACGATTTATTTTTTTTTTTTACCTAAGGTTCAATGTTTTGTAACTTCATTAAGTCTAACAAGAACAAATGTAGATTATTCCTTACTTAGGATTTAGTTATAGTTTTATTTCTTAAGTTAAAAATGTGATGTAGATATTTAATCAAGCTGCAATGATGGAAGGGGCCTTGAAATAATGTGACAATTAATGGGAGTATAGGGGGGAAGTATTCTAAAGTTGGTCATGCAATGCTGTCAAAAATAATATCATGACTTTAAAAATAACCAAATCATACAAGAGCAAGAAGGGTATACAAGTCCTGAGTGACGAGGCATAACGAGGGGGGTTAAAAAAGTTGCATAAACAGCGTTACGTGATACATGAACGGTCCCTAAAGCAACCCTAAAAAGAGATGTAGGCGGCACAAACAAAACAAATTAAGAATTGAGCGCAAAATGTCACAGATCTTAATCCTATATGTACATATATTACGTACAAACACATATCATCTGCACGCTGCAGCTAGTTGTACTTCGTCAGGTCCGGCTTCAAAATTACTATAACTTTTTAATATTTTTTTGTTTCAAAAATCAAAGGTGTTGTTAACATTTTAAGTTCCAACTACCACTAATAGGAACTTGTGATTAAAATATTACTGGTTAAAAACACCACACCCTGTATAGTGTCTTGGTTGTATACATACATGTAAGCATATATTATAAATGAAAAATAAAGTTACTAAAATATACCAGTTCCTATTAAGCATTTCATAAAACGCATTCGTCCTTAAGGCTTGCTAGGAGTCCGGGGTAGGTAAATTTAACTCCAGATGTTTCGCCGATTGTTACGATCGGCATTTTCATTGGTTAGCAGAATAACTAATTGTAAAATACGAAATTGCTAACCACTGAAAATGAAACCGCAGAAGCTGGTGAAACTCCTGGAGTTAGATCTACTAGACCACGGCGAATCCTTAAAGCTTACAGGATAAATTAGGACTTCGGCCGTGAAAACCTATGTACTATTTGCTAAAACTATTGTCCAAACCTTATAGACATCCCTCAAATTATTCCATTAGTCAATATTCACTCAGGTATTATCGGTATGATTAGTCAATGTACTACCACCTACATATAGGAATGCGAACAGCAAAATACCATGTATGTTTATTTATACAATAATAGGGATGATATAGATACACCTCCTTACTGTGAAAATTGCTATTTCGAAATGCATTTATTTATTAGGAAATTGTGTTAAGTTAGGTAAGTGTTTCTATCTTAAAAATTAACATTTACATGACTGGACATTAAACAAAAGGCATAAATTAAGTTCGTGATTACTTTAAAATGTAAGAATCAAATCCATCAACCAAAGTGAATAGTTTTCTATTAAATTGAAATAGGTAGGTGGTAATAGGGGTTGGCCTTAGCCGTTCATATTAAATTTTCAATTTTGTAAATTCTTAAATAATTCTTTTATGATTAGGTAGATATTACCCATAGGAATTTGTAGCCAAGTAGTTTTGTCAAAAAACAAACACAAGTTACCCAATTCAAATAGAACTAAAAAGGTTCAAGTATGCGTTTTTATCGTCGTTCAGTTATTTTTAAAAAGTTGAAATTCAAACGGCTATCTACCATAAAAATTTTCCTCAAAAAAAGTTATCACATTTTCTTTCACACCTGAGCCATTGTTCCAACTTCGTTTTCGATTTACGTAAACGCTATAGGTAATTACAAAAAAAAATTCCTCAGACCATGTAAGCAAAAAAGCGCATTTCTATTTGTTTTTAGATGTTCGATATATACCACGTGTAACTTGATTAAATTTTAGATGATATCTATTTAATAACACTCCTATATTTTTGTAGCTACGTAATTTAATAAAACATAATTCGTAATATATGTAACCAACATTACAGATTAACTCTGGCTGGTAACTTATTGTTATAATAAATTGTAATGTCATCATTAATAACAAATAGATTGTTCTTTCTAGAATTATTAGATACAGGGTGGTCTCAGATTGAAACTGGCCCATATTAATATCCAAACATGTGTCTTAACAAAGTTAAACTTGACTAAGAAAAAGTTGCGAAAATAAATCATTAAATAAGCTACAAAATATTTTTCAAACATTTGTTTATTGCCTTTTTCATTTAAAGCTTCTGTTATATTTCGAAATAATATATATGTAGTCGAATATTTACTGAAGTATTAACGTTTTTCGAAAAAGGATAATCTTTAAAAAGATCTGATGGACTCCACACTAGCAAAACTAAACTAATTATAAAAGTTAATTAACTTACTTGGATAAGTTTCCGACGGTGTTGTTATCAATATTTCCGGTATAACTAATATGAGTGGATAATTGAGTCAGTTGAGGGCTTTCCATCCCTGCTTGTTGTTCTTCTGGTGAAAGAGTATTAAGATGAGTAAAGCCTGCAGTTCTGTTGGGAGATCCTGGACTAGGACTTCCACTTCCATTTGTTGGAGAACCTTGAACACTGTCTAACACCTGTAGGTACTGAGGATTCTGGTCCTCAATTTGTACCTGTGACAAAAAGGAAAAACATCAGCCAATCTTTTTCACAGAAACTACATAAAACGTTGCAAGTTGTAAGTTTCTAGTTTAAACTTTCAAAACAAAAAAATTTAGCGCGAAAGTTAAGTAATGCATGCGTGGTAGGTGTTGCGCATCAGATAATTATTAGGTAGCCTATCAGAACACACTGACGTAATCGGTATAGGGCTTACCTCATCTATCCTAGGATAGAGCAGATAGTCGTCAGCTCTCATGGTTGATGGGTTATAATTGCCTGATTCCTGGTTGTCTGTGTAGGAGAGACACTCCAGGGGCGTTGTTGATCTTGAGTGGGGCGACAGTTCCGCCCCTTCTTGCTTAGAGGTGGGACTGTAATGATCAGGCTCTTCGGTGTAGCCTTCCACTGCTGCAAAGCACCAAGGTTAAAAGTGTTGCCTAATTTAAGTCAACTTTACTTAACTTCCCCCACCACTCGTCTTAAAACCGCTTAAATACAGAGATACAATACTCACACGACAACTGATTGACTATACTCGAGTATTTAATCGATATATCCGTCAATTCGGAAAAAAATGCAACTCTAATATTAAAAATTGTTGTGGAGCTTGTATTTTATTCGTTATAGTTTATAAATAAACTTACAAGACTGATTTTAGTATTCTCAGAATAAACAATTTTAAACCTATTGATTATGATAAAATAAACTAAACTTTTTTTATCATTAGTACTCGTATCATTAATTAATTACCCCGTCGTCCCTTAATTAGTCAAGGTCTTAGATATGGGAGGAAAGAGGATATAGGTAGGAGTCTTTCCTTCCTGTCATAGGGGCAAATTTAGCGTAATACACCTACAAATTCACTATTTGCGTCATCGTTTTTATTCAATTATTATTTAGATTTTATTTTATGGAGAAATATTAGATATAAAATCCAATAATTCCAAATATCTAAACTTTTCATTTACTGTAAGAACAATGTTCTACAATTCGCCCTTTCGTGACACTAGTTCTTTGCCCATCATACAAATAATACTCTTGCAAAAGAAATTCATAAAATTTTTATGTCAATGTAATACGATAGGGTGAACCGCATAACGTAGTGAAGCATTTTTGATTTTTTAATGATTATCCACTAGTTGTTACGCAGTTTTTCTTTTTCAATTTTTATCAAACATTCAACGTCTAAAAGAAGTTCATAAATCATAGACGAAATGACTTAACATATTTCGAAAACGAAAGATAACGATACCTACAAACTTTACTTACGAGCTTCCTTATCTGTTTTATGTCTATTAACCTTTGACTGCTTAACACCCGTATTCATATCATCTTGACGCTCGATTAACCCTCCAAAAACTCTTAATAACAACTTCTTGTACCATGTACTAAAAACGATGCCCTTATATTTAATGGTTGACATTTTTTTTTCTTGAAACGAACCGCTATACACTGTGGTAGAGTGTTTATAAATTAACGGGGCCATTTATTATTAAAGCGTTGTAGTACTGCAGTTAGGTACGGAATATTTTTTTAACGACGACCTCAATTCGGTTACAAAAAATATTATAAATTGCAGCTATTTGTAAGGGATCTTAAAGCAGTTTTTTAACTTTACAGTCAAATGTGCCTCTTATACCTTTAACCCCTCAATTTCTAAATTAAAACGAACTTATTCGTAGACGGTACTTATAATCATCGATTACATGCTCCAACTTAAACAAGCATTTTTTTTAAACAAATAAGCAGTAAAAATCTATAAAGAAACAATGTTACACAAGTATGAACTAACCTTGAATTGAAAAGTTTCATGTAATACAAATATGCACACATTTATAATCACTCGAAATAGTACGAAAAAAAGTTATTGGTACACACTGAAACAGTACTGCGAACACACCGAATGAATACACATTTGCATACACACAGTTCAGTACAACTTCTGTTATCAGCAACTTTCAGAAAAGGAAATCCTGTGCCTGCTGCACAGGATAGTAGGGGTTTTATGTCTGCTATCTCGATTTACATCAGTAAAAACATGTCAAAAACAAAATAAATGCGGTAAGATTGCTATTGGTCGAGGTATAATGTCGACGTTTGTCACTAGAAAAGAAACTTTGTTGTTTGTTATTATTGATCTAAAGATCTACGCACAAAGCAAAATATCGTCAGTATTTGTTGTGAATTATATGTACCTATACGTATTAGAAATTTTACGTTTTCGAAAACATCATAATTAGGAATTAGTCTTATTGTTAGTAAATATCATAAAATCGACAATTAGAAATATATGGTTTAACCATCGAAAATACAAAAGCTTTAGTAGATCGTCAAATTGATTTTTGAACCCCTATTACCTTCAGAGGTTTAATTTTTTAAAATATCGGAATAGATATTTCACTAATTATATGCAAGAGCATTAAGACCAAGTTTCAAGTAAATCTGACCATATAAACCATACCAACCCTTTTTATAGCCCCTTAGTGGTTAAATCTCGAAATATCCTTCATTATTCTTTGTACACATCATAAAGAAAACCTCTGAAAAATTTCAGCTATGTCAATTAATATAAAAATGTCTTCATATAGAAATTTCCGACTTTTTCCGTTGATTTTCCAAAAATTTTCTTTTATAGAAACTTTGTACTGACAAATACGAACATAAAAGGATTTTTCCAATTTTTCTCTTTACAAGAACCTTCCCTGTACTTTAACGAATATTTAAAATAAAAAATAGCCGAATTGGTCCTATCGTTCTTGAGTTTTATGCTCAGCAACACATTTAATCATTCATTTTTATTTAGATAAAAGAAGATATTAGATAATGCACCTACCAATAAGAAAAGTCTTTTGATTTTTATTAAATGAAAATAATTGTCTGGTATATAGAATTTTTTTCTATGACTTAATTTAGATTTTCGTACTTGTTCCCCTTCATTGAGAAAGTACCTAAGGGTATGTTTGTCAAAACGATTTTGCTTTCATTCAAACAAGCGCAACCACTTAGGTCTCTTTGTAAATATGTCGACGGTACTTGGAGGACTTTCAAACCATTGAGCTTTCCGACACCATTTGACACATCATCACTTTATAAAATAAACCTGTCTTTCAGACGATTCTATTTAATAAATTCTCATGGCTTTAATGAGACGCAGCCAGTAAAGTCGTTATCATACCAGCCATAAAACAAGCAATCTTCTTTCAAATTTATTTTCTTATTGGAGGTGTACATCTTTAAATACTTGTAGCACATTTAGTGAATACACAAAACAAAAAATAAAAATTAAATATATACCTAAAATTTACTATTTATTTCAAATATAGGTAATTCTTATATTATTACCTGCAGTAATTGTACATTGAAATATTATAGAAAAAGAGTAAATAAAAGTTGTTGTTTTCTTGCGAAAATCAGAAACAACACATTAAAGCCATTGTAAATTTTATATACCTTACGTTAGGCCATCAGCAGAATAGAAAAGAAAACAACACCAGAAACAGATTTACCTTTGTTTGTTTCACCAATTTGAACCCAATAAAAGAACAAACAACCCCTTACGATGTCAAATAATCCAAACAAATATTATATTTCTATTTATAAATATCCGTCAAAACAAAATTGGCTTTAACACACTCTCACAAAAACAATTTTGTTTCAAATTTAAATATTTTGTAATTCTTCTATTTAATTATTCAAAATTAGTGCTTTCTTTTTCGTCTCGTTTATGTTATAAATGACTCAAAAAACATTACCTACTATTTCTGAACTTTTTCTTTGTTCAATTCCTACCATTCTTACAAATTTTGATTATATTACCAGTATTCAATCATTGCTTCCCTGATATTTTTAACATTGATAATATGACTATGACTGCTCTGATTAAGTATTTGAAATGTCTAACATTAACACACCATAATTACAAAAAAAAGTGTTCTGTCCACAAAATATTTCTTAATAAGTAGGAACGATTAGCTTAATAAAAGGGAAAACTTTACTCTATATTATTAAATTTCTTTTTATTGGGCATGTTTAACTTTGACTTCGTACAAGTTTGTATTGTATTTAAAGAAAATTCATTTATACCAGTCAATTTCCCAAGCAATTCTACATATTATCTTCACACCCTAATATCCGTAAAACCGACAGTATGTTTCACGTAATGTTAAACATGAACAAAGTTGCACGAAATATAAATATAATTTAAATACCTATACTGACATGTAATAAGAACCGACTTCAATACTTTGTCTACACGAAATTTAGAGAAAAGTTACATACTTATATTAGGAAAGGTTAAACATAAGGAACTTTAAAAAAGAGTATTACCTATACGAGAACAGGGGGGGTTAAAAAATATGCGACATGGGTTGGTAGAACATCTTTTCAGACATAAAGGACTAGATCTAGATATATTAGAGGCAGAAACGGGAATGTAGAGGGGCAGACGTATGTATACAAACCTAGATTATACTGATATTCGCAAATATTGGTTACTCTACTTTTCGAAAAATAGGGAGATGATATTGATGTATAGGTATGTAAAAATTTGAGGCGCTAGTGATTTTGATGAAAATGTTTTCTTTAACGTCAACCCAAAAGTTAGCTGAAAATTTTTGAAGGATTTTTACCATGTTGTAAAGAATATACTAGAATGGTTTGAAATACGCAGTGGGAGAACCAGGGCTGAGATCGTCGTCAGAAGTAGGATGTAATATCAACGCCAGTTCAACTTTTACATTAAGATGTAGGCCAAATTATAAATCAAAAGCTGAACAAATGTTTCTACTCTGCGTCTGCAGATGTGTGCAATCCCTACAAGATATGAATGAATCTCAAGTCGAAATCGTCATCGGGGGTTGCCTTAAAGCCTGTCGAATCTTAACATTAGGATGTAAACCAAAATATAAATCAAAAGACTAGCAAAAGTACTCTGCGTCTGCAGAAATTTGCAGTCCCTACAGGACATGAATGAACCTCGAGCATTCTGAAATAGTTTGAAAAATACAGTGAAAGAACCAGGACCGAAATCGTCATTAGGGATGGCATCAATGCCGATTCAATCTTTAAATTAAGATGCAGCCAAAATACAGATAGAAATCTGGGCAAGTCCAGCATGCGTCTACAGAGATGTGCAATCTCTACAGGTTACGAATGAATTTTGAGTATTCTGGGATGGTTTGAAAAATGCAGCGAGAGAACTAGGGTCGAAATCGTCCTCAGGGGTGGCATCAACGCCAGTTCAATTTTTAAATTAGAATGCAGCCAAAATATGGATAGAAATCCTGGGTAAGATCAGTCTGGGCCTGCAGAGACGTGCAGTCGCTGTGGGATATGAAAATCTAGGTCATACTGGGACGGTTTGAAAAGCACAATGATATAATCAGGGCCGAAATCCTAGTCAGGGATGA